AACTAGACAAAGATACTACAAAAAAAATTACAGGCCAAATATTCCTAATGAATGTAGATGCAAAAATCCTCAACAAAATATTAGTACATTGAATTCAACAATAAATTAAAATTTTCCATGACCAGGTGGGATTTTTCCCAAGATGCAAGAATGGCTCAATATCTGCAAGTCAATCAACATGATACACCATTTTAGCAAAATGAAAATAAAAATCATATCATCATCTCAATAAATGCAGAAAAGGCATTTGACAAAATTCAAAATCCACTTATGAGTAAAAACTCTCAACAAAGTGGGTATAGGAGAACATATCTCAACATAATAAAGGCCACATATGACAAACCCACAGCTAACATCATACTCTATAGTGAAAAGTTGTGAACTTGTTCTCTAAGATCAGGAACAAGACAAGGAAGCCCACTTTTGGAACTTGTATTCAACATAGCACTAGAAGTCCTAGCCACAGCAATAAGACAAGAAAAAGAAATAAAAAGCAACCAAACTAGTAAGAAGTATAACTGTCACTATTTTCAGGTGACATAATTACACATATAGAAAATACTAGACTCTACCAAAATATTGCTAGAACTAATAAATGAATTCAGTAAAGTTGCAGGATACAAAATTAATATACACGGATCTGTTGCATTTCTGTACCCTAATAATGAATTATCAGAAAGAGAAATTAAGAAAACATTCCCATTTACAGTTGCACCAAAAAGAATAAAGTACCCAGGAATAAGTATTTTAAAATACCTATTTAACCAAGGAAGTGAAAGACTTGTACTCTGAAAAATATAAGATACTGATGAAAGTAATTGAAGATGACACAAATAAATAGAAAGATATGTCATGCTTATGAACTGGAACAAGTAATATTGTTAAAATATCCATACTACCCAAAGCAAACTATAGAATCAATGTAATCCTATCAAAATACCAATGGCATTTTTCATAGAAATAGAACAAATAGTCCTAAAATTCGTGTGGAAGCAAAAAAGTCCCGAATAACCAAAGCGATCTTAAAAAAGAACAAAGTTGGAGGCCTTCATGCTTTTTGACTTTAAAATATACTACAAAGCTTTAATAATCAAAACAGCATGGTACTCACTCACACGCACACACACACACACCAAATGGACACACAAATCAATAGAATAAAATAGAAAGCCCAGGAAAAAGCCTACAATTATATGGTCAATTAATCTATGACAAAGGCGGCAAGACTATATGATGAGGAAAAAGACAGTCTCTTCAATAAATGATGCTGGGAAAAATGGACAGCTACATGGAAAAGAATGAAACTGGACCACTTTTTCAACCCATATACAAAAATAAAGTCAAAATGAATTAAAGACATAAACTGAAGACCTGAAACCATAAAATTCCTAAAAGAAAACATAGGCAGCAAACTCTTGGACATAGATCTTAGCAATATTTTTTTTGGACCTATCTCCCGAGGCAAGGGCAACAGAAGCAAAACTAAACAAATGGGACTACATCAAATGGAAAAGCTTTTGCACAAAGCCATCAACAAAATGAAAAGACAACTTACTGAATGGGAGAATATATTTGCCAATGATATATCTGATAAGGGGTTAACATCTAAAATATATAAAGAATACAAGTCAACACCAAAAAAAAATAAATAAATAAACAATTTAATTAAAAAATAGAGAGAGGAGGGGGTGAAGAGGCATCTTCCAAAGAGGACATCCAGATGGCCAACAGACACATGAAAAGATGCTCAACATCACTAATAACCAGGGAAATGCAAATCAAAACTACAGTATCACTTCATACCAATCAGAATGGCTAGTATCCAAAGGATAAGAAATAATAAGTGTTGGTAAGAATGTGGAGAAATGGGAACCTACATCTGTTGGTGGGAATGTATGTAATATTGTTCAGCTATTATGGAAAACAGTATGGAGTTTCCTCAAAAAATTAAAAATAGGACTACCATACAATCCAGTGATTCTACCTCTGGGTATTTATCAGAAGAAAATGAAAACTGATTTGAAAAATGAAAATGAAAAATGATTCAAAAATATATGTGCACCCCTATGTTCACTGTAGCACTGTTCACAATAACCAGGATACAAAAGCAGCCTAAGTGTCCATCAACACATGAATAAATTTTAAAATGTGATATATATACAATGGAATATTACTCAGCCATAAAAAGAATGAAATCTTGCCACCTGCAACAACATGGATGGTTCTTGATGGTATGTTCCTAAGTGAAATAAATCAGACAGAGAAGGACAAATACCATATACGATTTCATTTATATGTGGAATCTAAAAAACAGAACAAATGAACAAACAAAACGAAACAGAAACAGACTCTTAGATACAGAGAACAAACCGCTAATTGCCAGAGCGGAAGGGTGTGGGTAGATGGGTGAAATAGGTGAAGGGGATTAAGAGGTATAATTTTCCAGTTATAAAATAGATAAGTCACGGGGATATAAAGTACAGCATAGGGAAGGTAGGCAATAATATTGTAAATACTGTGTATGGTGACAGATGGTAACTAGACTCACTACAGTGATCATTTTGTAATGTAATGTAAACAAATTACTATGTTATACACCTAAAACTAATATTGTATGTCAACTATTCTTCAATTAAAAAAATTTTAAACAAAATGCTGAAAAGTATTAAATATAAAAAAACATAGACTTGAACTTTATAAACATGTGTATACTCTTGAAATAAAATACTAAATTAGTTACTCAATAATTTTCCTTCTACATGTACATGTGCATGTAGGATTACTATTTGGATAAAGTGTTATGACTTCCCAATATATCAGGTACATCCATATTCAAATATTAGACATAAAATGCATTCTAAACTCAGTAATATTTAGAGTTTGAGCACTGTTCACTCTGTGAATTCCAACATAAAGATAAATATAAATGTATGTAAAATATTTTCATAAATAAGAATATTACAAATCAACTACTTCATCATAGGTTTTCCTTAATTAAAAAAGATTATCATAGCATTATTTGAAAGAAATTATTTCAATTCTCATTTTTTAAGAGTTATAAGTATTATAAGTTACTGTTGGATTGACAGATGAGGTGAGAGATACATTGTTAAACAAGATTAAGGACTTAAACATTAATGGGGAACTCAATAAAGCCAGTCCATAATGAAAGTCTTAACTGAGTGCTACAATCAGGCTCTATGAAAACTCAGGAGGGACAGTCAAATGCCTGATGAATCAATAGCCACAACAACTTTAATCTGTATATTTGATCACTTTGAACCTAATACTACTTGATGAAAAATTATAATCTGAGGTATCTTTTTTTTTTTAAGATTTTATTTATTTATTTGAGAGAGAGAGAGAATGAGAGATAGAGAGCACGAGAGGGAAGAGGGTCAGAGGGAGAAGCAGACTCCCTGCTGAGCAGGGAGCCCGACATGGGACTCAATCCCGGGACTCCAGGATCATGACCTGAGCCGAAGGCAGTCGCTTAACCAACTGAGCCACCCAGGCGCCCCTAATCTGAGGTAATCTGAAGACTTTACATATTATTTTTCACAAATGCATGGTTAAAATTTTTCTTCCCAGACAGTGAACAGGGATGCCGCAAAGAATGAGACAGGGAAATTAAAACAATGCATTTAGCTACTTGTTTCTCTGGGATTTGGTACATTTGAAACATTTAGAATTTATCGGGTTATTATTGTTTGCCAGACAATGTCATGAGAGCATTTCCTATCTCATATAATCCTCTCAATTTTCTTAAAGTACAATTCTAACCTACTAAGGTACTGTTATTAGTCTCATGTTTTAGATGTGGAAACTAGGGCTTACCGTGGTCAAAGAACTTGCCCCAAGCCATAAAGCTAGAAGCTAAGCTTTTAATAACTGTGAATAGATCTTTTCTTATATTGTGAGGAAAAACCATAAAGCACAGGGGGCCAGTGAGACTGGGGAATTTGGTGGAGGGTAGGGGTGGCGGGTAAGTTCAGTTATCCATCCGTAAGCTATTTGTTGCCACAGATCACTGAAGAGACTTGCTAGTTTAACACATTACTCTGCACACATGAGCCTCCCAAATTTTTCTAGCAGCTGAATATCCAAGAGTGTCCCAATACAGTGAAAGCAAATTTCACAATTATGTATCTAATCACTTAATATCAAGATATTCATTACATATTATCACATAAAACACTAAGCATTTGTTGCTATATTCATAAGCTGAACGTCTAATTCTAAACAGGGCGTGCAACTGGTTTTAGGATGGTCTGAAATTCCACAAACAAAATATTCTTTGAAATCCACATCTTCAATGTACGGCTTCTTCCTATTATAAAACTTTAGGTATTACTGATGTACCTAGACTTCATTCTACTAAACAGTATTTACATTAATACTTCAGTACTAGTGAAAGAACTGTGCCTCAAACTGAACCAAACATCTGTTAAACTGAATTGCTGTTTATGCTGAAATTCGTCGATTACATAAAAGTCACTTGCCACAGTGTATTAAAGAACATAATCCCATGTGTGAAGAAGACCCTAAAACTACAATTCAAATTGTTAAAAAGTATAATCTAAAAATTATTCAAGAACTTGAGGTATATTTTCTAAAAAAATAGTTCTATCTAAGTCTTGTAATGCTCTTTAATTTATATAAATGATAAGAATCTCATTCTTGGGCTTAGTGGGAAAACATGTTCTAATTTTTTTAAGGCTTTAATGAAGAGTGTTTTGAGAAAAAGTGTGGTATACATAACTAAAATGACTAACATTAAATCCAGGGGAGTTAACATAAGAATAAAACTTTACTTAAATTTAACATCATTTGAATACATTTTTAAAAAAGTGATATGCTACAGTTATTAAAAACAGTGATTCTCTACAACGTATTCCTCATTTCTTTACATAGTACAAAAACTTATGCCCCAGAAAAAAAAAAATTACAAATGTGTACACATGCATAATGGGGAGGTTTGACTATATTACATTTTCTCTTTAGAATGAAGACGTTTCAAAAGTAGAGAAAGCCCTGAATTTGGTTAAGTGATTGAAGTACACATAAGAGAGAGTCACTAGTATGTTTTTACAAAGACCCAGTACAGGAGTAATGGTTCCCAGGGCAATGACTAAACTAACTCTGACAAAAATAAAGGGTAAATCCTGGAGAAGGATGCCCAGGGAATTCAGAAGAGGGTTCTGAGGAGTTAATATAATTCGAAGGAGAGAAATAAAACTGAATATGTAGACTGGGTATAGCCAGCCTGACTTATACACAGTGGGGTGGCCAGCCACGCGCACCATTTCTATAGTGTCAGACCACAGCACAAAGCTCCACAGGAAGATCTGGGCACGGTCGTCCTGCTGGGACATTTCTCCCAGGACTCCCGAGTGAAAGGAGGGTTCTTGGGGTCTCGCCAGCACTGGAGTGGGGTTCTGCATCCTTGTGGCCGATGGCAGTGATGCCTGGGTCCTCCTGGCTGGCTGCGGAGGTGAAGGGTTTTCTTCATTTTGCTTCACTTGGTCCGTCACAGTTTTTATTTCCTGCAAAGTAGCCATATGACTGTGTCTATCGTCATTACCTGCAACAAAGTGATTTATTTGAATTTTAAAATGGTTTAAATTGTATGTAAATTAAAGTTTTTATTTCAATTTTACTTAAGTTTTAAAATTTAAAGATAAAATTGTAAGTGTTCTCTTGTTTGACACCTGTTTTACACATAGAACTTCAGACAAAAATGGGAGGCATAATGACCAAAAAAAAAAAAACCAGAGGCAGAGAAGTTTCTTCATATTTTTGTATTTTTCTAGATAGGGATCCCAAGTCATTTCTACCATTTCACAGTACTAGCCATAACTGGTTAGTGAGCTAAGCACTTCCACACGTTATCTCATTTAATCCTCAGAAAAAAAGTTGACAGATGGGGATTACTATCCCATTTTATAAATATAGAAACTGCAGCCCAAGAGGTGAAATGACACACCAATTCAAATACACAGTTAGTAATGGGCAGAGTTGGAATTTACACCCAGATCTGTTTGACCCCAATTGACAATCTCTTAACTTTATGACTACTATTACTGTCTAGAGGCAATACATCATGTACTAATTATAAAACATACAAATATCATAAAATCAAATGATCCTAAAAGTCCAATGGTCCAATGCTGTCATTTTTTACAGGAAGTCCATAGGGATCACTACAATCCAGATCTCCAGGCTTGGAGTTTGGTCCTGAGAGGGAATCTGACTGACCATGAGAAAGTCTTCATGAAGGGTGCCACTCAGTCCAAGATTCTTTAAACTCTACTATCCTCAGTTTTTGAACCAGTCAGTACAATTGATCAGACTAAAGCAATTTGTTTGTGGCCACAAGGCTATCCCTGATCAACACAACAGGCATCTGAATAAGGAGGATATTTTCTCATGAACTTCACATCGTGTGTGAGTCTGTGCATGCACTCATGTGTGTGCCTCTCTGTGCACACATGTGTGTTGAGGTTGGGGAATTATCGAGGGATCCTCAAATCTCAAAACTTACTACCAATGTTGATGTTGATAGTGTGGTTCTTATGCATAAATGGTAGAGCACATTATTCCTCAAACATTCATCTAGTTAAGCACCATTTTTTTTTTTTTTTTGCTAAGAATTTGTTAGGTCTTAACAAAGTTTACTCAGCAAACATGCTGAGTTGTCATATTACTTGATAAGACAAAATAACTCTAAAGGTTAAAGATACGAAGTCAATAAAAATTTGTTGAACTATATTGAACTGATGTGAAAACATTTTAAAATAAATAATGATTAATGACTAATAAAATGTTTGATTACTATAAATAGGAGCTGTTTAAAGAACAAACCTCAGTTTTCTTTTTTAAAATTTTAAGTGTGAATTGAATAAATTGAAAAACTAAAAAGATAATCTAAATTCTTGATGAAATAGTACTTTTTTTAAAAAAAAGATTTTATTTATTAATTTGACAGAGAGAGACATAGCAAGAGAGGGAACACAAGCAGAGGGACTGGTAGAGGGAGAAGCAGGCTTCCCACAGAGCAGGGAGCCCGATGTGGGGCTCGATCCCAGGACCCTGGGATCATGACCTGAGCTGAAGGCAGATGCTTAACAACTGAGCCACCCAGGTGCCCTGAAATAGTACTTACTTCTGATATGAATCATTTATAAATAAATGGTAGGACCCTTAGAAACTTCTTTACCAATCTTAGATGACACAGTAGTATGAATGAGTATCATTTTAATAAATAATAGTCAGGTAAGAAAGAAAATTATATATTAATTACTATTATTTTAATATTCATAAAATCATCTCTTTTTAAACTCAGATGCCCACTGGCAGCAGTTATAGCTCTCACTTTACAAAAGAAAAAAAAACAACATGGAAATTATGTTTCTTAGAGTATGTCATGTCCTGGAGAACCCTCCTTCACCTGTCTTAGTAGATAAAACTGTTTGAAGGGAAATCCAAATTCCTTTGTCAACACAAATAATGCAGTGTATAATGTAGGCTTTGGAGGAGGATTGCAAATTCAGCACTGTTTCAATGCCAGTAAGCGGCAAGCTAAGACATGACACATTAACATTTTTAAACAGTAAGAATTTTAATATCTGTGGATAAGAGCTGTGGGATGAACAATGAATTTTTAGCTAGAGTTCATTTTTTATAAGATACTAAAGTCCCAACCCATGGGTATTTGGTGAAATTAGGGCTGGGAGCCTCATATCTCTCCATAGCTCAATAGAAACTAGCTTAGATTTGGGGGTACAGGGACTCTGTTGTCTTCTTTCCAAGGGAGAAGTACTAAAACTATTGGCTGGAGAATTCTGTTGGCCTGCCAGAGGGCAAGGTAGTGTTGAAGAAGCCAAGAAATGGTTGGTCATTCGAGTAGACCCCAAATTTACCCCCAAGTAATGGAAATTTTCATGTACTCAATACTATTCCATTTGATTCAATAACTAGTTCCCCTCCAAATTATTATTTTAATTTCCACTTTGTTCTTTTGTTGTTGCTGTTAGTGTCCTATTGGGGTAAAAGGGTATTATTTGTGCAAAATCCATAAAAGATCTAAGCATGAAGAAAGAGATCTAGTCACTTCCCTAGAGGTTGACATTTCCCTGCAAAAAGTAAAAGTAACAGCCATTCTGTAGTTCCCTACATCTGATGCCAGTCGCCAAAACAACATTGTCTTCACTGTGCAAGCTAAATACTTAAGAACATGTAATTTTAATCACAGGTAAATGTTTAAGTAGGTAATTCACATCTATTTTTTAAATTATTTATTTGAGAGAGCGCGTGCATCAGTGGGGGGGAGGAGCAGAGGGAGAGGAACAAGAAGACTCTGCACCCAGAGTGGAGCCCAACAGGGGACTTGATCCCACCACCCCGAGATCATGACCTGAGCCGAAACCAAGAGTCAGCCGCTCAACCAACTGAGCCACCCAGGCACCCCTTGATTATTTCTTTGTATTGATGTATTTCTATCTCTAAATTGTTCCCCAAAGTTTTAGATAGTTTACAGGGAAAACCTAAGAACAACATAACAAATCAGTAGTGGAGAATTTTCTAAAGTGAACGTGTATGCCTCTTGCAAAGAGAATAGGAAAGAAATAAGAGTTATTTAAATATAAGAGAAAAAGAATCATAAGGAAAGGCACCTAAAGCCAAGACAGGAATGGAGCTGATATTAAAAATGCACGAGTGAGGCTCCCAGTTGTCTGTTAGGAGCAGACAGATTTTAGAGTGCCATACCAAGCTTCAACCGGACATAGAGAATGGTAGCAAATACTGTGAAAACAGTCCCACCTTCACCATGCTGTCACCTGTGATCACATCAGTAAATACAGAAGAATAAAATGTGGCAGGGCTTTAAAAAGAAGGTCAGTTCTGTGATGAGAGACTTCCGTATGAGTCTGAGTGAGACTAGAGGTCAGGAAGGTTCATTCAAGATGTGACAGTTAAGCAGCGACCTGAAGAATAAGTAGGAATGAATTAGGTGAAGAATGGAGAAAGGAATATTCTAGGTAGTAGAAAAGAGCATGTGCAAAGATCTTTCAGCCAGAGGGATCGAAAGAGGGAAAGTTTTGTAAGGAGTTGGGGAAGCAGAGGGGGAAGAAGAGGAGAGGAACCCAAACCTAATAAGTGCTCTCTATATACCAGGCACTGTCTTAAGCCCTTTCTATGCATTAATTCACTTAATCCTTAGAATAACTCTATACCATAGATGCGTTATTTTCCCACCTGAAAGATGAATAAACTAAGGCACAGAGAGATTGACAATTGTTTCTAAGGTCACACAGATAGCAAGGAGAGAGATCAGAACTTGAACCTCAAACCCTTTGCCTCTAGATCAAACTATCAGTGGCAGAGTCAGACTGTGTGGCACCTTATGGGCCATGATAAAGGCTTTGGACTTTCTTGTAAGCTCAGTGGAAAGCCACTGAAGAGGGAGAGTGGAAGGCAGAGGAACCAGAAAGGACATAGTCTTGATAAACAGTCCCCCAAATCTATCTTTCCTGAAAGAAAATGTTCTAGAGAAGGTGAAATGCTAATGAATTAGAAATAACACTCTGAGGAAAAAAAAATCTAGAAAAGAAGAAAATTAATAGTCATTACAAATATCTTAAAGTATTTTAAGCACATAAAGCACTTTTGGTCATGGAAAAAAATGTAATAAATTAAAATACACAACAAGGCACTTATATACATTGTTATTTTGATGCTCTCTACCAGCTAAACTCAACTGGACTGTGTATAGTTTGTTTCCTTTCAGCAGCACATCTGAGCTCTGGAAGACAAGTGACTTCATTGCCAAGTAATAAATGATGAAACCAGCATCTACTTCACAGGGTGGTTATGAGGACTGAGCAAGTCAATATATGTAGAACATTTAAAATGGTGCCTGACATACAGCAATAGCCATATGTGTGTTAAACGAATCAAACACAGCAATCACTAAATATAAGAATGCAGTAAATAGTAAAAGTGATTACAGTTTGTTAAACTTTGGTTATAGTTACACTGTTACCCCTCATCCCATTTATGGGGGGGCGGGGGTCAAAAAGTTTGAGAAACTGTGTCATACTAGAGAGCCTTCATGAGGTCAGGACTTTAATTCTCATATTTGCCTGCTCAGATCACACAGAAAAATGCTACCTCACCCATACAGGCAGTTCAGGCAGAGACAACTTACAACAGCTAACAAGAGTCTATCATGTGCATCTCTTCCCAGTTCCATGATCAGTGTTCAGTGACATCACCTTGGTAGCTTGAAAATGGTCATGGAAGGAGTAATTACACCAGATCGCTTCTCGGCCTTTTGGCTAAGATCAACTGTAGGAGTAATTACACCAGAGAAATGGACAAAGGCTACCAATCAGGGCCTTCCCCTGCATTCCCTGGAGAGACAGTGGTTTAAACATTGACCAGCATACTACTACCTGTGTTCAAAATGGTAGGAAAGTCTTCACCAAATAATAATAATTCATAATAATAATGAATTCAAGACAAATATTCAAACCATCATCAATTTTGAAAGAGCTCATGGACTTTCCTTAGAAAAAGCAT